TTTTTTTTTTTTATGGTAAAAGTGAATTTATTAAAGGATTTTGTGGAGTTTTTTTTTGTAGCTTATTCCGAGATCCTCATTTTGTTTGGGAGAATGGGTTATATTTTTATTCTGTCTCCTGTAATTCCTTGTAAAAACATGTTGGCTGAATACCTTACCTAGTCCAGTAGAGGGCAGCCCTGCTGGCCTTAATGGTTTAGCAGTTTGGTTTTACATCATTGCCAGGTGATAATAGAAAAGACTGTTCTTGGTAACTACTGGAAGGGAGAACAAGCATATTGACAAACTGAAAGACTTTTAGAGAACAAATATAATTATGTTGGGGAACAAGTAATTTTATAGATTCTGCAAAATGAGTCATGCTTCGCTATTTAGTCTTGTCATTTAAGACTTCAGTCACAGTGTTGTGTTACACATTTATAAATGTAAAAAAACTTGCCAAGTAAATCTGACAATGCCAAGTGTTTCTTACTGTATTTTCCAAATTGAAAGCACTCACAGAATAATTGAAAAATAACCTTAGGTGTTATGGTATTGTGCCTTTACTGATGCTATTAGATTGGGCATTACTCAAAGTGAGTTAATTTTTTTTTCTTCTCTATTGGTTATGCCATATTTTTAAAATCCATTCCAGTAAATCAAATTGAACATCTAAAGAATCTAAGATAGGTACTGGAATTCCAAGTGTTTATTTTCAAAGGTAATATAGTTAGAATGATGCAATTTTATCAGAAGACTTGAACTACACTTGCATACCTTAAATCCCAGAATGCACTTTATGATTAGTGGTCAAGTACACATTGCCATAGGAGGTGCTAAGGAACGATCTGTTCATTTTATAGTGAAGTAGTGACTGTTCAGTTCTCATTTTCTGCCTAAGAATGTGAATTCTTTATTTCCTCTTGCACCAAGGTCCCTTTGTAATAAATTACTGTAGCCAATAGCAAAGGAATAGTACTGACAGGGTGAATTGTAAAACTTTTTAACATTAGGAAAATATTTGTATATGTATAAAGCTGGGATGTGTGAATTCTCAAAGAGGATATGGAAAAGATGTGTTCTCAGCTTTTGGTTTGCTGAAGGAAGGAATATATGTATAGACACTCAACTAGCAAGTACTTGAATTTATGTATCACATTTGCCACTGATACTTCATATGCTGGAATATTTAATACCTCAGTCAAACTTGTGTTTGAATTTGGAACATCAACTTAAATCTGTCGTGAGCCGCGACATCAGGATCCTGCCAGCAGGTCCTAAACCTGAAAGGACGAGGACAGAGAGACAGGAGGCACCTTTCTTCTCAAGTTCCTTGCTTGCTTTATTACAGAACCTCTTCCTTTTATACTCTCCAGCTGCATGGGAGGGAGGGCTGCACGGGAGCGAGAGTACCGCCCACACATTCCAGAGGGAAACAATAACAACCATTACGGGTTACATGTGCTAGGCAATAGATCAGACCACCAGCTGAACTAGCCCATTGCTATAGCGACGGCACGTCCACACTGCTCGGGTGAATCACAGGTCAATATGGCTGTGCTCATGTCGTGTTCCTTTACAATGCTCTCCATATAAATCTATTTCATTTTTAAAAACTTATAGCTTATTAAATCTATGGGTAGGATTGGAAACATAGCTCCATGATAGAGGTATTGCCTAGTGAGGCTTTGAGTTCAATTCCCAGCACTGTTCATTAAATAAGGCCAGCTAAATATTAATATGTTATTTATTTTCATCCATAATTACCTTGAAGAAAATGTAGGGCTTTTAGCTTTTTCAAACCCTATTTACATTGTCTCTTGATTTAGTCTTTCTTCATTAACTTTACAGCATTTACTTCAATGCTTGTAATCTCTGAGTTAATTAGGCTAGAACCAAAAATAGTTTATTCATAAATACTAATATAAAATTTTGCTTTGACTTCTTGTACAGAGATCCACAGTATGTGAAGTGTTATAATAATTAACAGACTATGCTCCCATCTTTGAAAGTATTTATGCTAAGTACATCATAGAGTTCCTCATATTTATGAGGCAGGTGGCAGCACCACTGAGCTAAATCCCTGGCCCATGTTCCTCATATTTATGACACAAGAATTAGTGTTTTGTCTATAATGAAGATCAGATACTTCCTGGAATCTTGATTTCTAGAAGTTTTAACTTTAAAGGGACTTTAAATATGTTCTTCCATGAGAAAACTAAAAGGTAAAATGTGTCTGAAGCTGTATAATACAAAGTTGGAAAGCATATTGAAGGAATATAAAAACGAAAAACCTTTTAAGATTCTGCTTCATTTTCCAAGGACTATAATACTTTGAGTAAGCTTTTAGTACTAGAGTCTCACTATGTAGTTCAGGCTAGCCTTGAACTCAGTATCCCAGGCTGACCTCGAGCCTGTGGCAGTCCTGCTTCCCAAGTGCTGGGGCTACAGGCATGCCACCGTACCTGGTTCTAGGATGCTAACTATTCTTTTTTTAGTAATGGCGATTGAGCTGCTGCTTTTCCTTAACATTTGTACATTAAAATATGACATTGTGGTGCAATTACATTTTATTTTATATAGTAGGGGGGCACATAAAAAAACAGGCCAATTTGCTGGAAGTCAAGACCTTTAATATTAAGTCCAGTTTATTCCCTGGATCCATTTGTAATGAGAAGAAATCCATAGTTTCATTCAATTTACTGTATAGATTACTCTTTACCACCCCCACAGTAAACTGCCTCACCAACAATTGAAACATTTGATTCTTTGCACTGGAGCTTTCTGTTTTGTTTTTTTGTTTGTTTGGTTTTTTTGAGACAAGATCTTGCTACATAGTTCAGACTGGCCTTGATCTCATTCTGTAGCCCAGGCTGACATCGAACTCATGATCCTCCTGCTTTGGCCGGGCTAGCATTGCAGGAGTGTGCTACCGGTAATTCTAGGTTCTGGACGTCTTCAGATGATGTTTGACTTTTAAAATCAAGCCTGGAATGCATGGCTTTCCATTGTTTCCTCAGTCTTAGCAGAACTGCGACTCTCCTGTTAAAATGGACTTTACTGTGCATTAAAAACAACCAAAAAAACCCTTCGTTTCCATTTGGCCTTGGGTATATTACCACTAGATCCTAAGGACAAAACAGTCATCTTCAACCTTTTGGGGTGCCTCAGGATACCTCTCCTGTGTTGGAAAGAAAGTCCCCCCACCAAACCCCAGTCTTGGTCCGCGTCCTGCAGCACTCCGGTCCTTTCTGTCGTCCTCGCACGTCCGGCGAAGCCTGGGGCGGGTTGTCCGACCCGCGGTCAGGGCGGAGAGGCTGCGCGGAGCCGACCAGCGCAGGCGAGAAGAGCCGGGGAGCGTGGGCCAGTC